CATCCCTAAACTCATCCCTAGCCAGCTGCTGGCGAAGATGAGGTATCGGCATTTCTAGCATGTCAGGATGGCTCTTAGGTTTGTTTTGCATTTCCTGCCTCACAGTTTGTCTTTTGCAGGATTTCCATGCTCCTAGCACAGTGAGAGCTTCCAGGGTGGCCTATTGTGTAGCTGGTGAATTCATAATATCCCCTGGATAAAATCTCCTACTGCATCTTGTCAAATGAAGCTGCAGTAGGCAGCTGCAGAATGACCAGGAAGGGAGGATTCTTCCCTTGCTACTTGTCCTGCAGAGTGTCCATGTGTGGGCTACCCCATCAAGCCTTGTGATAAGTTTTATTTTTGCCCCCCTCGTTTTTTTCTTTTCTGTCTGAAAAGGTGTGGACAATCAAGCATGTAGGATCAGATGCCAGTTCTGTCACGCCTGCGTGTTTATATGGTGGTTTCGTCAGTCTTTCTTGCCAGAAGAATCTTTCCAAGTGCTTGATGCCCTGAATAGTTGTGTTTGCCTCTTTGAAAGGTGATCCTCCTTTCTGCTGGGTGTGCTTGGGTCCCTTTTTTCTCCCCCCCTTCCCTCTTTCTGCATGCTGCATTTAGCTGTCAACATTCTTTTGCCTTTATCTGTGCACTGTTTAGGATGTCCATATAAAGTTGCTAAATGGAATTTTTATTGGTCAGCTTAGTTTAATAATCAAACAGTTTCCAGCTGGTCCTGTCTAGTGCTGTGTGGATCCATTTGGAGAAAGAGGATCCTCGGTGTTTTGCTTTGTTTTTTCCTATCCCCTGTGATTCCTTAGTGTGAGATTGGGGTTTAATTTCTGTAAAAGGGAAGCAAACTACTTGGCTAGACCAAGTAAGGCCTTAGTCATTAGTATATGGTTTTGGAACATCGATATCCTAATTGGAGAATAGCATGTCGTTTAAGTGTATTGTGTAGAAAGGTACACAGCATATGGCCTAAGTTACCCTTGAAATGTAACCGCACAACAAAAAAGCTGCTTATTCTAGTTGCCTGATAAATAGTCTTTGAACAAAATGTAACTTAGACTTTAAAATAATGATAATCTTTTAAAATTAGAAGTTGCCCAGAATTAACTGATTGTTGACTGAATTCCAGCAATAGAAATGAGTTAAACTCTTATGGCTTGTACATTTAGAGTGTGTCAAAGTGTTCTTTTGTTGAACTAAATGATTTGCCCTTGCTGGCTTTTGTTTCTTTGTCCCAAAACTAACAAGTGGCCATACGTGCATTTAATGTGCATTTATTGCCAAAGACAATAAAAGTTTAAAAAGTAAACAGTCTGTAAATCCTCCTAAAGATAGATGCAATTGCTTTATGAATCACCAAGCAGGAACTCTGTGGACCTGGGTGGTTACTATTTTGCTGGATACTACTCTTGTTTGTAAAGCAGAGTTGCTCAAACTCTGGCCTAGGAGGTGATTGCATAAATTTGCTGTTGCTTGGGGACTCTCTCTTCAAAATACAAATTACAGTGTGTCATTACCCACCCAGGTTTTTATTGGTGCCCCTGAAGCTTTCGGTGAAGCTGGGAGACAAATTGCATCTCAGGAATTTAATGTGGTTATCCAAATATTTATTACCGTTGTGTTCCCTGCTGGAGGTAGGGAAGGAGGGTTGTGGCAAGTTCTGTGTAAAGGGAGCACCAGGTCAAACAGGCAGGCCGGGCAGGACTCTGCTTTTGCCTTAGTTATGCTGGTGATTTGCTTGCAAAATGTCCTCTATAGTTCAGGTAGTGATAAAGAGGCTGATATTGGGCTTTAGGTACCTTTATTGTAGGGGAACTCTTATTTTTCAACTGTATATTTTGGGCTTAGCCAGTTGCGGTCTGTCCTGGAAACTGGCGTTAGGGTTTGGTTTGGTTATGCTTTTGCAACTATATTTCTTTGTAGATTTAAACACCTGATTTAGTTTGCACAGAAAATTGTCAATCTTCGCCTGTGCTGGCGTCATTGTTGCAGAGTTCATCTGTGTATCAGAGCTTTTAGAGACTTCTTAGCCCTCCTGTAAGTCAGTGAGCTTTCTTCAGGTTGGATTACTGTTTTTCCACTTGTTTTAAAAAAGGATTTTGTTCTCCAGAATCTTAGTACTGCTTCTTTGCAGTTATTTACTTCAGTTTTTATGTTAACGAGGTTGGCATCGTCAGAAAACATATGGTAGACAACACTTGGGAGGTATTTTTCAAGACAAACCATATCCCAAACAGCTTAGCACTATAAAAGCACAAATGTCTGAACCACGTTCCTGTTCATGCTACAGCAATGAATTACAGAATAACGTTAGCCATGAAGCAATGAATTTTTTGAAAGAAGTTGTAGGGAGGAGAATTTTTAAAATACAGTACTGAAACTTTGTCTATGCTTGAAAAAATGGTGAGGAATTAGTAGCAAATTATTTTCATTCACAAAATTCCTTGGAAAGAGAAATAAACTGCTTATTTATGAAGTTTCTCTAGAAGTCTTTTTCTTTGACTACCCTTCTGTGGGGGATTTGGCGTTAAACATTCAGAGATAAGGGGGAAGCAGTTTTAATAGAATACCATACTGATTCAAGTTTTTCATGGTATAAACTAAAGCTTGCATCAAATGGCCAATAATTTTTCATCAAAGCATTTTATTTCCTTCTTGGCTTTCCATTTAATATTAACTCTGTCTCCACAACAGTTTCTTTTTTGGCAATGGGCAGAATCTGATCCTGGCTTGATCAAAACCAAAAAACTCTGCAGTCAGGATGAGATGTGTATCTGCGTGTTCCTGTCCCCATGCTCATGGTAGGAAGATCTGAGCTCCAGAGTTTCCTAGTGCTTGATGTTACTTTGAAGAGGCCAGTGTTAGGCCCATTGTTTTCTTTTGTCTCAAACTACAAATGAGTAAATAGGGAGGCCCAACATATAGAAGTATTTAAGAGCCCTAACAAGCTGTTAAACCCCTAGATATTTGCTGAATGACTGCAAGCCTTGTGCCTCTACCACTGCCTTACTCTTTAGCATTGGATATGCCCCAAAACCTCTCTGTCCCTATTTCCCCATCTGAGTACTGGCATACATGTATTCTACTACCTCTAGGAAGCTCATGGTTTCAAATCCTAAATTAATTTTCTGTAATGATTAATTAGCCTACTATTTGCTTCAGAAAGATCTGTAAGAGATGCTTGGCAGGATAAATTTATTTGATGCAATGAACTGTATCACTCTGTTGCTCGTGAAATCTATCTCCAACCTGAGCTGTTGAAGCAGCCAAGTACTTCAGATGGCTTTGCCAAAATCTGCTTGGGTCTGATCATTGTGTTAATAGTTATAAACAACATAGATATCTATGGCCGATTTTGTGAACCTGCTCTTTTCTATGCTAATGCAACAGTATTGATTTTGTGAGGTGCTAAGTACATCTCTCTCAAAATTGCTGTGTGAATAATACTAACCTGATCAACAGGAACATTAGTGTGGTCCCTGAATTAAAGTATGGAAGACTTCAATTTCAGGACTGTGTATTACAAAGTCCAGTTTTATGGAGATTGTCTTTATTTTGGTTTATTAGGATTAAGATCTATACATGTCTCCAGTACTGAAGTTGATGCGTCTTGTTTTTCCTTCTCCCCTCTCCCCAGCCCTGTAAGCCATTTGCTGGATTTCAAGGGTCATTTCCTGTTTGCAGAGCTCCTATTGACATCAGGAGGAGCCTTGTGCAAACCTTTGAGTCTTCAGGATGGTCCCTGTTGTCCTTTTTTATTTCCCCCAGCCAGCTGAATAAGCACAATTACCCCTGTGCTCTAGTGATAAAGTCTATACTCACATGGGTGACTGGAAGAGCTGGGATTCCTTGGGCGGAATCTGCCAGAAATAGTGCCCTTTTAGCACATCTCCTGGCTTCTGTCATGCTGTCTAGCACATCTCCTGGCTTCTGTTTCCATTGGTAGCAGCTGCTTAGAGGGTTAGAGGGAGAGAGATCTGCTTTCTGCTTTTCAGTTTTCTGCCAGGCCGGTTCTGGGGAGGTACTGGTAGAGCCAGCAAATCCAAACTGATCTCTCTTTTGATGCCTGCCTTTTTACCTGTACTTTTTTTTTTTTTTCAGTAAAAGGGAGAGAGTCAGGATGAACCAGAAAAACTAGCTGTTAGGTATATAGATACTTCATTAATCATAATGTTCCCGTCCTCCCTCTGTACCAGCTGTAGGTTTATTTTACAGAGCTGGTCCTATGCAGCAGCTTTTGTTCTGTCTTAGCCATTTGTGCATAATGGGACCATAAGTCTTCTCTGTCTACTATCAGCCTCGGATGGAGATGTTATTTCATAAACCAGTTATTTAACTTCTGAACTGACTAAATTCATTATGCAGAGGTTGTTGGCAGGGGGGATGTTTGAGTCTGAATCCTTCCCAATAACAGGAAGTGATCCTTGAACATTTTGTAATATCCATTGCTGGTTCTGCACTGGTGTATGAGGTAACATTTGTGTACTGGAAGGCCACATTCGAGGTCTTAGGGAACAGACTCCGTTTTTGTTTGTTTGTTTTGTTCTGGTTCACCCCAAAACCTTATGGACTTGGCTGCTCCCTGAAGAAGGTGAGATGTGGCCCCAGTTGCTCTTTTTGATAGAGTAGTGCCTAAACATTTGTGCCAGGAGCAATTTACACAACCTTAGCTTAAGCATATAAGGGATAGACAAGGGAAGTGCTGTTACAGCCATTTGACATGGGGGAGGCAAAAGCCTTAGAAAACCTCGGTGACTTTCTGAAAGATGACCAGACTTCTGTAGCACAGACTGATCAATGTCTGAGTGCTTTTAGCAGCCAAAAGATGAATCTTCTCCCTGGTGTTTCTGATGTGTTTAGTGCCTACTCAATGACTGGGACAAACGCATTATGTTATCAAAAATGAGCTTTCCCTGATCAAACGTATACTTTATTAGCCACATAAATGCCAGCATGACTCTCTCATTGCTACAACATATTAAACACCTTGGAAATGTTTCCTTAAACTCTAGGTCAGTCTTATGAAATCCGTCTACTTGAGAATAGGAAATTGGGAGAGTTTCAAGATTTAAACACAAAATATGTGAAGGTAAGGAGAAATATAGATTTCTTTTCTTCCTGCTACTACATACAGCCTCTAATGAAGGACCTGACCTTGCTCACACCGAGACAATGGAAAATACTTTGCCATTGTTTTTAATGGGAGCAGGGCTGATGGAATTACTTCTGAGTGCTAGAGTTTCATGGGACTGTGCAGTTTGGCTTTACAGGGCTGCAGGGGAACCTTTAATTTTCGTTGTGATCATGACCCCAGAGTTTCACTGTGAATGTTGGGTTCACGGGAATCCCAAAGTTCAAAGATGAACACGGTCAAAGCTACTGAGAGATAGGCTTGTCTCCCTTCTTAACCCAAGCAACACATCTGTGTTGAGGTTCATGTCACAAGTAAGAGACCCTGCTGTTTACATCTTTCTGCCACACAGATTCCTCATAGCTCCAGTTTACTTTGGTAACGAATTGAATTCGTTTAACTCAACGTACTGAAAATGGTCCTGAGTTCTTGGCTGTTTGGTTTTGGGGATAGTCTTTTTTTTTCCCAAAACAGTTCAAATTCAAAACTTGGATCCAGATCTTTGTTCTGGATCCAACCTTCAAGCCTTCCTCTCCCAAATTCTTGGCTGTTCTGCCTCAGGATATCTTTTGGGAAGTGGGGACCAATTGCAAAATTTGGATTCTAATCTGGATTTCAAATGTTTGCTAAGTTCAGGCAGATCCACATCTATCTTTTGGCCCATTTTGGGGAGCATGTGGATTTGGATTCTGATTTTGCAGGTGTTCCCACTGTGACTTGCTTGCTTCTTGAAGTTAGGATTTGGTTTGGGCCTTTCTCAGGTTCATTGGCAAAATTTGCTTGCTCTCAGTTGATATGGAAGTCCCCAGTAGGAGCATGGACTTCAGAAGCTGGGAGCAGAGGGGCCTTTAATTCTAGTGTATCGCTTGGAATATATAGAAGCATATATTAGTTTTTGACTTCGTACTGGGGATTTACCTTATTCCAGCATTTTGTTGCCAGTTATTGATATGGCTGCACCTTTGCAGCCCCCAGAAACATTCCTATTCTTTGTTTATTTATCTACACTGGGTCAGATCCAACATCAATGACTGGCTGGTAATGACTGGAATCAAGTTTAATTCCCACTGTCTGGGCGTGTCAGCTCCATTGGTGCAGAAGCAGGTGAGCTGGCTTTCACATTTGTTAATCAGAGTAGGAAAAACTGGGGCTGGGGCATGGTACAGACGCAGTAAATATATCCTACATTGTGGGTGTGGAAGCAGTATAGTGATGTTCACATGGGGGGAAACCTAAGATAAGGTGGACATAGCTGTAGTGCTTCCAGACCAAATCCCAGAAAATCGTGCAGGGCTGTGTTGTGCAGCATAGACATGCCCTGTGAGGAAGGGGAGTGTTCCTCTCTCACCCAGTGATCCCTTAAGATTTTGATAAACATAGTGATGGATCTGTTAGGGGGATCCTCTGTTCTCATCATGAATTGGGGTGACAAAAGCACGTAGGAGGAACAGATCAACTTCCTTTTCCTTCTACGCTGGAAAGCCAAAGTCATCTCTAGTGCAGGACCTCTGGATCACTTTGCTCATCTTACTGTTTTCTTTTAACAGAGCATAATTCGTGTAGTTTTCCACGATCGACGCTTGCAGTACACAGAACATCAGCAACTGGAGGGCTGGAGGTGGAGTCGGCCTGGGGACCGCATCCTCGATATAGGTGAGAATGTTGTATTGTGTTTCCTGTGCACTGTTTGGAAGGCAGGTGCTGAATGATGTGTGGTGTGTGTGCATGTGTGAATACTTTATACTTTGCTTCCTTAAGAAACCTTTAGGTCTTTGGGTGGGAAGGAGATCATAGCAGCATAGGTCCCAAATAGATGTATCATTGGTGACTTGGCTTTTCACATGCATCTTAATTTTATGAAAATGTTTTCTCTTCTTCAATTTAATATTTTTAAAATTTTAGGTGTTTTCTTCTACAGATATTCCATTGTCAGTTGGTATCTTGGATCCCAGGGCCAGCCCAACCCAGTTGAACACTGTTGAATTTCTGTGGGATCCATCAAAGAGAGCCTCAGCATTCATTCAGGTAAGAAATAAGTTATATTCTTGCCAGTCACAAGCATGTGTGACGTTTATAGGATACTTGCTAAACTAGCCTAATACTGGGGAAAGGTCCATTATCGTAGCTAAGGAAAACCTGTGTTTAAGACATTGATACTGCTTTCTAAGCATGGGCTTTGCTTGGGGGAGGCTGTTCACAAGCTGTTATTTTTGTTTGCTTCCTTTCTCTTGAGTATTTCTAAACTCAAATACCAAGTGTCTGTTTTTATGTGTGTGAGGGATGTAGTTAAATCAAAGGATGCTTTCCTTTATGCACTGTTTCTCTCCAGGGTCCTTGTTCTTTTAAGTGTTTTGTCCTGTGGAACAGAAGTAAACACATTTTCAACTCTCTGCCTCCTTAGTTTCTAGGGAGGAGCCAAAGCCTCATGTTCTGGTAGTCTGTAAATTCAGGGAGACTAAAAAATAGATTTTTGCAGCTTCAGATTGTCTCCAGAAATAAACACAGCTTTTGTTTTGCCAGGTACATTGTATTAGCACAGAATTTACTCCACGGAAACATGGAGGAGAAAAAGGGGTACCCTTCCGGGTACAAATTGACACCTTTAAACAGAACGAAAATGGTGAATACACAGAACACTTGCATTCTGCAAGCTGCCAGATCAAAGTGTTCAAGGTACGAGGTAGTTTTCGCTTTGTCATCACCAAAATTAAGTCACCGAAACATGCACATTTTTTAAAAGGTTTTGGTTGCGATAGAAACTGTGGTGTAAAAGGACAAAGACTTTTTAAGTGGGTATACTTAAGATCGTAAACAGGACTCTTACACACAAAGCAACGTAAGCCCTAAACTGCACAGCAGATCTAGCTAAATTCAGGTGACACAAGTGCCACGTTCAGACTGATGCCAGTCTGTTTCTTGAACACTGTAAAAATACTGAGATCTGGGCTGTGTGGATGTCTTAAACAAAAATCTCTAAACTGCCACTCGTTGCAGTGAAAAACCACCTCGGAGTCCTCTGCACAGATTTCTGTGGAATAGAGACAGTAGTCTCCAGAAAGCTTTGCCCTTCACCTGTTTGTGCCATGATGATGATGAGTATTACAGACCATACAAAATACAGCCCAGTTTCTCAGGAATATAGAGGCTCTTGCTTTAAGGCATTTTGAGCCAACATACTACCCTGATGGTATTTGAGGTAACTGCTGTGTTCCAGTCCAGTCCTAGGCCATCAATATAGAATGGGAATTTCCAGTTTCTTTGGTTGATTCCTCCATAGTGAGAGCATGGTATCAAGGCCTTAAGATTTCTGCCTGATGCAGCAGAGTTCCCCTCCATGCTACTTGGTGCAGAGAAAAATGTTGATATTCAATCTTCAAGCTCCTAATCTTTGAATAACATACTTGTAGCCACTTAATTTTTTCATAGGCCTGTTTTCACAAAGGGTTTTCTGCTTCAGTTTGACCCTATGAGCGGTGTTTTTCCTGTGCCTGGAAACATGGTACAAATGCCAGTTGAAATACATTCCTCATAGGATGTAAATAGCTGGTGTCAAACTCTTTTGGAATTGAGCTGTCGTTAATGGGGGCAGTTGTGCAAACAACAGAGATGTTTGACTAAACTTCTGTCTGCAAAGTACAGATCTGATCTCACTCCATACGTAGAATCACCATAAATCTTAAGTAAACTGTTGTGAACACATTAGAAAAAAACCTGTTGGCCTCGGTCTCCAAACTTGTCATACTTGGCATAAGGGATAGCTTGTGCTTGTGCTTGTAGCCTAAAGGAGCAGACAGAAAACAGAAGACTGACAGGGAAAAAATGGAGAAGAAAACCACACAAGAGAAGGAGAAGTATCAGCCTTCCTATGAGACAACCATCCTCACAGAGGTAAAGTATTTTAAACATGTTGTAGTACTGCAGTATATTGGAAAATAGATTTCAGACGTAATGCATTCTGACTGATGCTTGGAGATTGCCTTGTGGAGACTCTGATACCAAGGTCTGACTGAAATTGAAAGCTGAGTGAAATTATAAAATGTCTCACTGTTGATACTCATAAAAATGCTAAAGTCTCTTATGTTTCAATCCTAACAGCCTAGGTTCAAAAGAAACATTTTCTCTCTCTTCTGCCACATGCCTGTGCACTTGTGGTACAAAGATACCAGTTGTATGAGGTATTTTCTTCATAACTGGCGCAAGCCCATGTTGGAGATGGGACAGTGGAACAGATGAACAGACTTCTTATAAATTAGGAGTGTCTGTTTTTCTGTGAATGTGCCTTTGAGGCTACTATAACATGCTTGATCTCAAATTCATCTGACTTACCCTCCAGGAATATCTTGAATATCTTGTCTTGTGAATGTGAATATTCCTTGATATTGAGATTGAGGTGTGTGTTTCTAGTCCCCTCACCCCTGTATACACATTACTAAGATATATGCATAAACTCACCATGAGTTACACAATTGCTAAGCAAAGGGACTCGAAACAGTAGTTCAAAAGTGCTGTTCCATATCGCTATGAGGATGTTCTGTAGTTCGATTTTTTTTTTTGAAGTGGCCTGCTAGACTCTCAAAATTAGTTTTCAGCATTTTCCTTTTTTCCCTTAATTTAAACAAACTTCCTTTTTCTGAGATCCAATCCCTCCCACCCAATTTTCCTTAAATGGTCAGGAGTAACCAGCATTCTTCTAATTCAACATGGTGGATGTTAATGAAGCTCTTGTGTACACATACCTAATTCTACTGAGTTGGCAGGTCCTGAGCTCTTACTGTTAGCTGTGATGCACTTTGACATGTTGCACAGGGAAGTGTGGGTTGCTAAAGAGTTAAATATTTGCTAGTGTTGTATTTGTGGAGATGATAAAATTCGAAAGCTGCAACTTGTCTCCTTTTTATCATTGCAAAAAAGGATCATGCAGAGTATTTTCTTGAGATCTTGATGGGGGAGTTCCACGAGGCTAGATTTCTTCTACTGATCACAATGGCATAAATCCAGAACAGAGATACCAATTTTAACTGTGTGACTCTCCATTACAGTGGTGTAAAGGCAGTATAGAGTTTGACCTGTATTTGTAAAGGATTTTAGTAGCATTTGTCTGTCTATCCTGAATTTCCCCCCTGTAATATCCATTTATAACTCAAAATCTCTGGCTATTAGCCAAAGAGCTTAACAGACTTCCCCAAATTCGGCTCTTTCACTGGTATAAACCATGAAGAAATGCCACTGGAGTGTGTTTGTCGCTCTTGTCTGGATTTAATTAGGGATTTATAATTGAGACCATGGGTATTTCTGTGTCATTGCTGCCTTCAGTCTGATTTGACTTACTGGCGTTGCTCTGACTTACAGCTGTGCACACTTTGGCCCAGTGTTATTTGGGGACAGGCTTTGTGAAATGAGAGAAATGTGGAATGCACAACTGGAATCAATCTGGCCCCCTGACAGACTGCTTGGAGTGAATCGTAGAAAATCCATGGCCTGTCTCCTCCTCCCAGCAGGAGTGATGAGCTGAAGTTAGTGGCGTGGCAGGAACATAAATGTGGTATGAAAGGAGAATCAAATCCTTTATTTTCAACCTTATGAAAGTGTCCCTGCTGCCTTTCTTCCAACAGTGCTCTCCCTGGCCAGATATGCCTTATCAAATGAACAATGTTCCATCTCCAAGCTACAACAGTTCTCCAAATAGCTTCAACCTTGGAGATGGGTATGTAACAAATACATGCTTTATCTTTCCTGTTGATATGGTAGCCGTTGTGTGCATGTGTTTTGTGTGTCCATGTATTTTGTACCTTTAAAAGGTCAAAGTATGTCTTAGCTCGACCTCTCGACACCCTCTATAGAAAGTGATAAGTATTTCTCCCCAAAACTTCAGCACCTTCCAGCCAGGAATTCTCTGTAATGAGGAGTATTCTTTATATGTCCACTGTGTATGTGGTTGGCTGGGAAGAGAGCATGAGAGGGCTACTAGGGTAATTCCTTTCATGGTTTTCTTCTCTTGTTGGAACACACCAGACCCTGTTTCAGCAATTCCCAGTATCTTCTAAGAAATGTGTTAAGCATATTTTGACATTAGCACATTTTCAGAGTTGGTATTTTTATTTCATTTCTATCTTGAGATACTTTGTGATAGTGTGCTGAATTCTGAGCTGAAAAGGCTTGGAAGAAATTGTCTGGAGCAAAACCACCTGGTTTCCAAGAAGCTGTTCCAAATGAAGAGAAGGCACATTTAGTCCATTAATACTGCCAACATAAGCAATTTAAGTGGCCCTGAAACATCAAGATATAGTTGACTGTTGTAATATATACGAAAGTCACTTGGTAACTTTTGAATATTCTCTGTAAGATATCCTTTTCTCCTCTAGAACTCTATAGCCATGTCAGCTTCCTGTAGCTCATTAACTAATTGATAGAGAACTTGTATCTCCCTAGAAGACCATGAGAGATCTCTCTGCTTTTAGCACTGGAGAGTGGGTTTCCTGGACTGCAAGTGTTTTTAATGGAGGTGTAGTGAAGCTTTCTATCAGAAAAATAGGTAGTTAGAGAAGGAGGAGTGATTATATCACAGATTTTCAGTGAATGACTTACACTCATGAATAAGGGCCAATATTGAAATAGCAAAAGGTGTTGTGAGCATTTTCTTCTAGGAGTAGATTATTAATTATCTGGAAAAATTCTTGACAGTCCATGTTGAGCATGGGTTCCTTAGAAACACATTTGGGTCTAATATGGCTTAATAACAACTCACTGCATTTGAAATAGCATCAGGTTTGTGTTACGAGGTCCTTTCTTACTCATTTTTTGTGACAAATCCTTATTAGACAATGGGTTTAGCTAGGGATTTTGTCACTCATAAAATATATGAGTTCAGTCATTCTGGCAGCTCAAAACTTCCTTGTGTGGATGATACAACATTAGTGACTCACCTGTTTTCTCTCCATGTTGAGTAAGACCTTAATTGAACAACAAAAAGCTTAAGCTGGAGTGGAGAGGGGGGATTTTGGTGTGAATTTTGTTTTGACCCAGTCTTTAGAGACATTTTTCTTAATCTAAGAGAAGAAAAATGCCAAGTTGGTATGAAACTTATATCAGTTGAGTCAATTTAAGGAGGGAAAAGAGGATAGACAATAAGATGTAAAATATAAAAATAATGTTTTTTCTCTTCCAACTTTATATAATTTTTTTTAGCAACAGTTCTCCAACCCACCAAGTGGAGCTCCTGCCTCCCAGCAATGATGTAAGTATATGAGATCATGTTAATGTGGTGCTTTTCTTTTTTTAGGACACTGGTGAACAGTTCATTTCAAGACCTTCTTATTCTTTTTGCAATGTAGCATCTCCTTCCTTCTGCTTCTATTCAAGATGCCCAGCAGTGGCTACATCGTAATAGGTTTTCTCCGTTCTGTAGACTCTTCTCAAGTTTTTCGGGTGAGTTTAAACCGTCCAAATATTTTTGTCTTTCTCTGTTCTGTGAGTGGAGCTCAGGCTTCATCTGCATAGCATCTGCTGCTGGCCACTGTACAAGAGACCGTTGGTCTTACCCAGTATGATTGTTCTCTAGTTTTTAGATTAGTTAGTATTTGCCAGAATAGATTCTAGTATCAGAATAAATTAGATTGGAAGGATTCATTGAGTTCACTAGGTCCACATCCCTGCTTGAAGCAAGCAAGTCGAATTAGATCAGGTTTCTCAGGGCTTTGTCCAATTGAGTTTTGAATATCTCCAAGGCTTAGAGATTCTACAACCTCTCTGAGCAAGCTCTTCAAATACTTAAGGAAGTTTCTCCTTGTATCTAATCAGTATTTACCGTGTTCCAAGTTCCATCAGCGCGCTCTCATGCTGTCACTGTGAACCTTTAAGAAGAGACTGGCTCCATCTTCACTATACCCTCCTATTAGATACTGGTAAACACCACTAAGAAGATGGTAGAGGGGGGAAGGGGCCAAGAACTTCAGGCTTTTGAGGAGCCTGTCTCAGACTTCCAGTCTTCTTGCAAGGTGCTTAAATAGCCTGGTGAAAGTGGCAATAGGAGAAAATGGGGCTATTTAGTTAAATGGCTAGCTTTTATCTATGCTGACTACAGTATCCTGTGAACCACTGCTCTTGTGGCTGCTTCTAGCTTTCTGTTCCACAGTGATTGATTTGCAGTGTACACCACTTTGAATTTGCAACAACGTACCACGCTTGGAAAGCTCTCTGATTAGTTTTGTAGATTTTCTCTCTCCAACATAGCTCCTGCTGCCCAATTTGGAAGCTAAAATTTGCTTAACTTCTGGAGAAAAAAAAAAAAAAAAACACCAAACATTTTAAATATGTAGGTGCTGACTTACTGAAGATGTCCAAAGAAGATTTCGTTCAAATCTGTGGGCCTGCTGATGGAATTCGGCTCTTTAATGCAATCAAAGGAAGGTTTGTATTCCTCTTTCGCTTTTGTTTGTTTGTGGGTTTGTTTTTGTTTTTAAGATTGTGACAACATCACTTGATACCTTCAGTGTTAACCAAATTTACTCAAAAATATGTAACATGTAGACCTCCTCCGTTATACTTCAAAGAGGTCATTGTAGAGGCTAGAGTTTGCAGTGAGGTTCAGATCCCATGCAGCTCAGAAATGCTCTCAGATTCAGACCTGAGGCATGGTAAACCTCTTAGCAAGCGCTAAATACTATTTTGTTTTATTTGATCCTGAAGAGTTTAGGATGTTGCACTGTACCATCATCTCCCAGAAGGACTCTTAACTAGACCTCCTAAGATGCCTTGTCGCCAAATTTGAGACTGTCCCCTAGTTAGTTATTTTTGCAAGACTTGAACGCGTCCATCTTTCAGTGTTTGATTGTTTAATGCAACAACTTACTAAAGAACTCACCACTGTTTTCTATGAATCCACAGAAATGTAAGGCCCAAAATGACAATTTATGTCTGTCAAGAACCCGAGCAAAACCGGTCCCATCTTCACCAAAAACGAGAAAATGGAGATGGCAGTCTCTGTGGTAAGTTGTTAATATGGATATTGTTAAGTACTTGTCTGGTGAGAATGCTGCTTTGGGCCTTAGCTCCCATGTGGAACAGCTTGGCATCCTGCATGCTTAAGGAAACCCAATTTGTCTCATATTTGACACTTCTAAGCTGGTTTCAAGGCTGCTGAGTCCACCTTGAGTGCCATCAACCTGGGGAGTAGACCCCACTTCTACTTGTCCCTCTCCCATTTGATTGGAGAGGGGGAAAAATCTTCAGTACAGGACAGCTTGAAGGCTTGCTGGTCAAGTGTATTGAAGGCCTACTGGTAAAGCATATGTAGTTATTTGCCAATGTAATATTACAGGAAAGGACAGTGATTTAATTTCTCTCCCTCTTCCCAACCAGGCCTGTGCATGAGGAAATTTACTGATTTCTTGTCAAACGCCTGCTAAGCAGTGTCTTACATTTTATGTTAATGCTACTTCTCTTTTTGAAGTCATTGGGGCTGACCAAATCAGAGATTAATTTAGCTCACAGACTCCATGGTTTGTAATTATTTTGTCCTGATCTGGATAGATTTCCTTTCAGAATCTGCAAAAACATTTTTGCTTTTAGTTAGTTACTTCAGATAGCAGTGTCTTTTGAAGCATGAGTGCAAATATCTGTATGTTCTATAGTATAAAAAATAATAGGCAAAAGATGCTTTCACAGTTTTTCTGAGGGTGACCTATGAAATGTCATGCCCAGGATATCTGTCAAATTTTGGGGCAGATTTGAGACTGTCCCAATTAGACCATAAAGTTTCTACATTTTGACATCTGAAATCATTGTTTAATCAGTTGCTCACACAATCAATAGGTCTTGTTAAAAACCTCATGGAAGTAGGTAGTGTAAGCAAACAACCCCTCCCCCACACACACACTTATTTTTAAAAATAACTTTGTGGTTGGCATTGTAATACACAAATTTAGTAACTTTATAAGTTAATTCAGGAAATAAAACATTATCTTTTAGTAAAAAGAAAAAAAAAAAAAAACCTTTGTATTTGAGAATGGAAGCTATGTACATCTAACATCTTAAATTTGAGTTAGTTATCTACAGAATATCATAGCTAAGGCACCGTTCTTTTCTTACAAGGACCATAGCATTAAAATCTACTATGACATCCACGGTTAGTTTGTAGATTATGGCTTGTTGGAAGATATTGTGAAAAAATGAAAGCAGTTATGTCTTGGAGTGAGGTTTTAATTCAGAAATGCTCACAGTTTTTGGAGACTTGCAGTTCCTATCTCAAAACCTTCTCTAGAAGTGTGGTACAATGAGAATGAAAACTTTCCAAAGTTCTTGCACAGAGTGTCAATCAGGCACAGCTTTTCTACCTTACAGTTTCTACCAGTTGGATCAGATTTCAAAATTAATACTGTTTTCCATAGTTATCCAGCACATTGTAACTAAGCTTGTTTACCTACTCTCCAGATTTGAACCTCGATCTTAAACCCGTTTGGTTGTTTGATATTGAACATCATGCTGTTGGCTGTAATAACTAGTCTCTCCAACTTGTTGCAGTATATCATGCAATCTTCTTGGAAGAGCTGACCACCCTGGAATTACTCGAGAAGATTGCAAACTTGTACAGCATTTCTCCACAGCAGATAAACAGAATCTATCGGCAGGGACCCACAGGGATCCACGTATTAGTGAGCAACGAGGTAAGGGGGGTTAAAGCAAAGTCAGGATCTGGGATATCAGCTGTAACAGCTGTTGTCTGATTTCTTGAAGTTAGAATGAACAGTTAAATTGTGGACTGAATCTTCAAGGAAACTTGTAAGCTTATCAATGCTAAGAAGTCAAAGAAAATGCTTAGTGCAAATCATTCATGCATACCATTGATTTTGGTGTGACCTTGAGATCTTTGCTTTTTAAGAGAAGAAGCTATTGAAAACACACATTTTTCTTTTCACTTCAGGATATTGAATAAATTCTGAAGTGAAGATCTGAGGCAAGATCTTTTAAAGCTGAACAGGAAAATTTTCTGAAAAGGGCAAGTTTGCAAATCTGTAGGCAGTAGTATGCAGCCACTGGGTCAGAATGAGTGCTGCATAAGTGCATACAATGATTTCCTGGACCTCTGCTAGCTGTTTGTGTCCTATTACATGCTGGCTTCATTGGTCCATTCCATTGACTTGCAGGTTAATAGTGAGTTGCCCTTCTTCCTCTTTTTTTCCCCTAAATGACTTACTCATGCACTAGAATCACTTAAGAAACTTCATTTGGAAGAAACATTGTTAAAACAAATGAAGCAGAGCATAGGTCTCAACCAGAGCCTAAATTGAAGGCTGTAATGCTTATTCCTAAACTCTCCTTGCCATTTTGGCCTGATTAAATCTGAAACCTTAATACTTTACGGACATAAAGTGCTTGGAGGCAACTCTATGTAGGGGAATTGCCTGAACCAACTTGGGTATAAGGGGGCTGTAAGTATTTAAGACAATTATTAACAGCATCTAGTGCTTTATTTAATTTATTCTTGTTCTAGTAGTACAGTGGCAAGAGTGGGGCACTGTATGAATGTACTTCATGCATCGTTAGGCACTGGCAAACAGACTGGCCGGTGAAGTTGGATTTGTGGGATGGAGGAGGGGTAGGTGTTCAGCTGAAAAAGAAAGTAGGAACATTTGTCTGCGGTAAAGAGGATGTTTGGTGTGGTAACTTGCAACTGGACAATTCTCCACTTGAACGGTGTTCAATAGCTAGAAGGTGGCTTTCATTTAAAGACAGATTTTGTGGGCCCATGAATCATGAAGGGTTCTGGTCACCTCCCTTCCAAAGTCTTTACCTCCCATGTCTGAGAGCTGCTTTGGGATGACATGACTGTGGATGAAATTTAAATGAGTAATACAGATTGGAGTGAGTTGAATCTCTTAACACCATCTCCTTAGACGTCTCACTAGAATCTGTTTTGAAAATCTAGTGATCTAATGAATAACTAAAATAACTTTTGATACTAATCTTACTTGCCACGATCTGACTTGTTTCTTGTTGGAATTTTGTTAAGATGCATGTACCTTGATAGATACAAACAGGTGCATGAGTCCTGCAAGCACAGCATGTGTACTTTTGTCCTGTCAGAATAAACAAGTGGATACTGCTGAGATGACTTCATACGAGCAGTATTCCATTATTTATCAAGGAGTCCATTTCTCAGTGCTGACCACCTCAGATATTAACTGAGAGGCTAATATAAACCAAAACAAACTTTATGCATGAACTGGATGTGTGTGTGTGTGTATGTATTACCTCTGCTAGACTTCAGGAGAGGAACTGTCTCCATCCAGTCTAAATTGGTACAGCTTCCTTGAAGTCAATTAAGAGCATGATCTTTAAAGGATCTGGCTGGAGTGGTGTAAGAACTTAAAGGATCAAGACAAGCAAAGAGGACGGTAAAATGCTGAAAAAGCCAGATCACTTTGAAGGAAGCAATTAAATATAAGCCTCTCTCAAGCAAATTAGCAACTGCAAGAACCCTAATTATTCGCTTGTGTACTTCAGTGCTCTTACGGGCAAGGAGAGTGAGTGAGAGAGAACTGTGCAGGACTAGACACTAGTTGTTTGATAACTTTTCTTCAAGATTTACGCTGGTATTGAAAGAACTGAACTTGACTAAATTGCTAAAAACATTTTGTGCTAACTTTTTTTTCTTTTGCCACTCAGATGGTGCAAAACTTCCAAGATGAGTCTTGTTTTGTTATCAGCACATTAAAAGGTATGTATTGCTGTTGTTATCACACACACCTCTAAAGATAATTTCACCTTTCCCTTAAATATTTTTATCAAATTTGTAATAAGCTCAGTGTCTAAATTCTGAAGAGAGAAGTAATCTAATGTGGTGCCAGTCAGTGGTGTTACACAAATTTGAGAGATTGATTGTTAAACTTTCCTTTCAGTTACACTGTTACAAAGCTTGCCTAATTCTATTGATGTCACTGATGTAAATGAGCAGAACATCTCCTAGTAAAATGCTCAAAGATGACAGTTGATATGTTATAATTTTTATGCAAATTATTTGAGTTAGATGTGCAACCTCACCTTCATGAATGGGTTGTGGAACAAGAGCACAAACTATCTAAACCAGGAGTTATACATCTGTGCTGTTTTCTACAAGCGATCAAAATTACTTTGCCTTTCTTTGTTACAGCTGAAAGCAATGATGGCTACCACATCATTTTAAAATGACCATGCTGCATAGAAAGACTAAAATTTAGTGCCTCACTGAGATTGCTACAACCTAGACTGGAAACATGAAGAACCTTCTGGATAAAATGCTCCTATGACCTAAGAATTACTAGCTTAAGGAAAGAAATTGCTTTTACAGATATACATTTTGTTTTGTTTTGTTTGGAGATTGGAGCTGAGAACATTCTCAAAACTCGTATATGTTTCTTCCTCCCTCCCTTCCTCTCCAGACTTAGAAATTGTTGAGGTTTCTGCTTATTGCATTGAAACACCTGATAATGAAAGATAAACAAAACCAATTCTCTAGACCCCCTCATGGTTGGGTGAATTGATTTATTTATAGTTCTGAGTGCACTCTTGCTTTCAAAACACACCCCAATGTTGACAAACAGAGGGTCCCTGGGGCATCTTCTTTTTTTTTTTTTTTTTTCTTTGAAATGGAGGGCTTGGGGCTAAATCCAAGAGCAGATCAGGCATTGTAGAAGCTGGATTTGGTGCCCAGTCTCCACCCAAAGTGTCGACCCTGGAAGCCCACACTTAGGTGCTGCCTACCTGTAGACGTTCTCAGACATGATTACATATGGAGAGAATGTGTGCCTGCACAACAGGATAGTTTTACAGGGTTCAGGGGAGGACGTGCAACCTGAAGCAAGTGGTTCAGTCCTGTACTTTAGTTTTAGAATAGCCTCCTTGAATAGAGTATATGAGGACTTTCTGAGGAAATGTTTTGAACGTCGAAAGTATAGAGCTCATGACAAATTCATGCTGTGGATTTGTTCTGTTCTACAAAGCAAAGCATTAACTAATCGCTATTTTTGCTGTAACTAGTGACTAGGTTTTATGGTCTTGATGATTTTCTCCTGTTACGAAAGTAAGTAGAAATATGTTTTGAGTTCAGGTAATGGATAGTCTTAGTTGCTCCTCTTGCTCTTTTGCTCTTGTTCTTTCGCTCTTGTTCTTTCACTCTTGTCTGCTGTTTTAACTATCTACAACTAGTCAACTCCACTCTCCCTTGGTCTTTTTGGATGTCATCCAGGCTTCACTAAGCTGACTTCTACTGATGTCAGTGATGGGACTGCATCACACCTTTCTTGCATAGAGTCATTTCAATTTTGGCAGCTAATTATTATTACTGTCTCCCAAAGTGAATGTCCATCTAGCATGAAATTCTCTTGCTTAAACATTTGATTTTGCTCTGAAATGAGATGGAAAGCTGAAATATATATAAAAAAAAAAAACTTGGAAAGGAAAATTTTTGAAAAAGAAGTGATTGGAAAATGCTGAACAAAATGTTCTAGCATTTCAGAATGGAAACATTTAATGAAATCCATTTGACCCTTAGAACAGCATCAGTTTGAGCTACTGTTGCAGACCTCAGAAATTACCATTCAAGTGCCTCATGCTCCATGTCTCCCCTGGGGCTGAGCGCTCTGGCTGGACTACGGATCCCATGATGCACTGTCGTGGGTTAGTCAAAGAGGGAATGCGTCAGGAGAGCTGGAGGGGTGCCCGGGAGTCCAGTCTTTTGGGAAGGATGGAGACATGCAGCGGTTGAATTACTGCTCCCAGCTGACGCTGGAGGAATCTGACATACACGGATTAATACTTGTCTGACAAAAATGAAATGTTTCAAGTTTTCCCTGCAGAAATAAACAGCAAAATATTGAGGAAAATCAACCTTTTTTCATTAAAAGCATCAAGTTTTGCGCAAAACCCCACTTGCCCACACCATTTTGTTTACACCAAAAATAATACTGGAATAGGAAAATTGTGTTACAATGGGAAAACATCCAGCCAACTCAGCTAATTGAGTAATTCTGCATACTTAGGCATGATCTTGCTCAGCTGACTGTCCTGGATGCTCCAGCAGCTGAGGAGCAAGCTTTGGGGGTTGCAGACCAGCCTGTGTAGGTGAGAAAGTTGTAAGTGGTCCATCCCAAGTGAGGCAAGGCCAGACACGTGCTGGGGGGCAACTTGGAAAAAGAAATATCTTCAAGGAAGATGGGAAACACTGCCTTTCTGAGAGGAGGGTAAGACCATGTCCACCTAGAGCTGTGCGAGGGTTGTATGTCCAGGTGTCCTGCTTGCATGTCAAATGACAGCAGAAGAGGAGCCAAACTTCTGTGCACAGACATTGCTATTCTCGATTGCCTTTGTGGCACCTGCTTGGGAAGCTTAGAAACTTACTAAATCTCATGGCAAAATCATGCTGGAAGGTGGAGTTGCCCCTCTTCTGTGTTAATGCACTCCAAAGAAAATAAAGTACATAAATGGCAAAGATTATTGTTGCTGACTCAGACCAAATAGCATTCTAGGGATTCCTTGTTCTGTCTTAAAGGTTTCTGTCCCTACTCCAGCTCTGACACTTGCTCTGCAGTGCTGCATACCCAGCTGGGGAGCACCCCTGTCCCCTGGACATGGAGGCATTTGTTTAGGAATTTCACTGCTAAGGTTGCCTTCCGAAATGGGGAATAAATTCCAGCTTTACTTCAAGTAGTTGGCAACCTATATGCTGTTGTATACCAGGTTAGTTTGGAAAGCCTGCCTTTGATTTGTCTAAGTAACTTTTTGTTTGTTTGTTTCTTTTGTGTATTCTTTTAATGGAAATTCTTATGTGGCTGCACTTTTTCATGCTACTCTGTAATAATTGCCAATATGTGGCCCAAGTGCTGTTTGCATACGACTTGGATAAGCAAATCTGATTGAATGAGATGGATTTAAAAGAAACATTGGACCTGCCACATGGAGTATAGTCTATTTACAGTGATGGCACTGTAATTCAGGGGACAAGCAATACTGGAATGCAGCCGTGTAAAGAAAGGATAGAGGCACCTTTTGCTTTCAGTGTTAGAGATTAAGAACTGTGATGATTTAAAACAAAAATATACCTTGTTCTTGGCTCTTTCAAAAACAAATTTGCCGGTATGGAAGTAGATCTGAAAGTCCTCATGCTGTTTCAGTAGCACTTGGTAGGTTATTTTTTTTATCAAAAACAACTCTCCGTTAGGACTTTGTTATATTTAGTTTTTCAAATCAAATTATTTTACACTGATATGAAGGCGAATTTGACAATATATCTTATTCCTATTTCCATGCTGTAACAATGTATAGCAGCGTAAACAATCATATAGATTAATAATGTTGTCCTACTAGGTGGGCTGTACTGTTTTATCTGTGTTAGCCTGCTTGTAAAGTTATATAACTTCAGTGTGTATGTAAAGCCTACCCTTAAGTGACAGAGTGCTTCTAGTCCTTTCTGAACCTCTCTCATCCCAGCAGAATTTGGAAGATTGTGCTTAGCTAACATATACATGCATGAAGATGTAAGGCAGCTAGTTTGGTGGTTATAAGAATGTCAAAGAATGTTAGATTAATAATTTGCAGATAAACCTTGCCCTCTACCTGCCCAAAACACAAAAACAAACCTTTGGCCCATTGAAGTGGATGAGTTTCTCCATGCAGAAATGAAGCAAAATCTTCATGATTTATTTTCATGGCTTGTGTGAGGATGAGACCTGTGTTATTTAACACTGCCTGTGTAAGTGGTGGGTAGTCAGCTAATTCCTTAAATGCTTCCTGTGGTTACACACAGGGGTTGGCGTCTCCGGAGTGGGATTCGTGTGCCCTACCTGTGGATGTGACGGCCTCTCAATGAGAGCCTTTGAGTGCAGGAGGAAGCATAAATAATTGATCTGGGCTAGATGTCTAAATCTGAGATAGATAAACATAAGGGAGACTAATATCTTCCTCCTTGCGCCTACCTCAACACCAAGTGGGGCTTTTGTATTTACGTTTCTCAAGTGCCTAGAAGGTACTACTATGCTTCATCTTTTTTTGCCCTCTTTCTTTAAAAAAAGTGACATATAAAATCTCCTCCTCAAAGGATGTAAAGGAGACTTTCTTTTTAAACTCTACATGTGGAATTTGTACAACAGGGTTTATAATCTCTGGGTTTTAGAAGTCTTAACAAATCAGTTTGATATCCCAAGCTGTCCACCTGTTAATGATTCTGATGATACAGCCTGTGAGTAAATGCAGACTTTCTAGTCATGAAATCATTCCTTGACTAAAAACAATATCATCCAGCCAGTGCTGGAGTTCTAGACTGATTCACATGAGCTTATCTGGAATTATTTCATAAATTGATGATATTTCTCTGGCCATTGAGTAAACTGATAAAAATCACCACCTGACTGGTGGTGAAGGTCTGAGAACTCTTAGATGTGCCAGTTAAATGATACTTTGAGGGTTCAAGATGGAAGGCACAGATAATCTGATGATAGAAGTTTCTGCCATCTGCCTGAGGTGGAAGGATTGTTTATAGTAAAATTAGGGCTTCTATTCTCTGTCCCTACTTGGTTAGTTGGCTAAAATTTAAGTAATAATTCAGTCTGGAACATACTGGAGCTCTCATTATCTTAGAGTGAAATATAGTGGGCTGATGTTTGAAGATTTGCAGGTGGTGAAAGGCGTCTTGCAGTTGAAAAGACCTGAATGGCACTCTCCTAGTAATGTAACATATACATATTTATGCATATATATCTACATACATACTGTATTGTATCAACACATATATGTGCTGAGTACTTGTGTCTTTTGGCTTTAACTGGTACTCTGCTTTGTTTAATTGCAGTTCAATGTAAAAGGTTGATCAAGCTTAGAAACCCAGCCATTCCTTGGGTAGAAATGTAAAAAGTTCATAATCGCGGCTTTAGGTGATTTGAATTAGGTGATTTTGGTACACTTGGAATGGCGTAAATTTGATGCATTTCTGCAATATAAATCGCAGGCCTTGGTGAAGACAAGCACATTCTTACAGTAACACTGCAGTTCTATATTGCAGCTTCTGGAAATTTAGTTAGAGCAAAAGAAAAATGGATTGCCCAATGCTTTGTAAACTAGTAAGAGCTATTCCCTAAAGGGAACAACCTTCCTAGGTGCTGTATTGCTTAAGCATTGGCTAGAATTCTAACAATCATCTGGTGGATGACTGGGACACGTTTTTTGTTTGTTTCTGTTTTTGGTTTTAACTGTTCTCAAAAAAAATGTGTATTCAGACTGTAGCTTTTTCTCCTCCAATTATGAAATGGTTAAACTTTATGCTTTATGCTAGTAATGCAATATTTTCTTAGGATTATAATGTTTGACAGCACAGGGTACTCAAAGTGGGGAGTGTTTGTTTGGCCTTGATCGTTGTTACCGTGGATGAATACAAGAAGGCAGACTGAAGGAGCGTTCAACATCCTTGCCTCTGTCTAAAAATGAGTTAAGCTGGTGCCTAATTTTTTGTGCATTTCCGATTTGTGCCTTTTTTGTTTTTGCAAT